AGCAGGTGCGCCTGCACCAGCCTGCAACAGTTCTTGAGATGCTCAAATTGGCTCTAAAACCGGGTGGGCACAAGGCGGAGGCACAACTGTTTATGCATTTCCCTAATGAAATGCAAAGAAATACCAAAATGGGGCTTAAAAATGCCCAAACGCAGTTTACAGAATATGAAAATCCGCCCCCTTTTCCGTACCGCGTGCCAGGCCAAACGAAAACATTTACAAAAGCTCTTGTTGAGTGGTAATTAAATATTTAATTTCTCTTCAGCTATTTGTTTTGATTAATAGCCAAAAAGACAGAAACCGAAAACTGTGCAGCCCTTGTTGTGAGTTCGGTTGTACTCTGTTTGTTTAAAATATTTTTCAATTTTTCAATTTGTTTGCCTTTTGTATTCATACCCTATGCAGGGGATATTCTGATTTTATCAGACATCGAGTTATTCATGAAAAGAGAAATTTGGTAAGCTGTTAAGTCGGAATCGGAAGGATCGTAATACTATATCACGACATAGATATTTTGAGATTTGTTTCCCGGGATAATATTGTGCTAGCTTTTCTTAACTTCTTTTGACAAAAGTTAACAGTAGGGAATTCAATGTGCGGCTTACTGTTAAACATTTTTGCCTTTGCCTATTGAATTTGATTTTTGATTTGCTTTAATTTCGTTAATATGTTTTCCCATTGGACTTTGGGGGGAAAAGGGAATATGTTTTTATTTTGTTTGAGTTTACTCAGATAACTTAAATCAATTGCTGAGAGTACAAGCAATTGCTTTAGCATTGCTTTAGATTTACTTGGCAGCTAAAGAAATTTAGCTGTTGATTTATTTTATTTTACTAATAGGATTGTTGTTAGTTTATTGCCTATTCTCATAACAGTCTTAGATGCAGTCCAGAGATGTTAAATGCAAATCTCTTACATTTAAAGATTCAAAATTAATTGAAAAGTGTTTGGGAATAGTTTGTTATTCTTGGAGTGCATACTTCAAGGCGCCAACAGGCGATAAAACATGTCCGCCAAATGCGTTGAAACAATTCGCACATGCAAAATAGCCAGCACTCGGCACAGACGACTGCACCACATCATTATGGGACCACAGGGAGCAGCTGACTCCAATGGACTCCAAAACTCTAGCTGGGTGCGTAGCAAATGTCGCCGCAACGTCGGGTATGCAGTCGCTGCACCGAAGCATCATTAACTCAATTTTGTGTGGGGGGCCGGAGCGCAACTTAATGTGCAGCCGGGGAGCAGCCAGAGCAGTCATTGCTCCAATGGCCAACATGGACACACCAATTATCCGAAATGACAACACACGCAACAACAGCACAGCCAGCAATAAAAGGAGACAAAAAAGGGGGCTGTGCAAATAAAAAGAAACTAAAACCTATCGGTGGGGTGCATTGTGGCTGGTACACCAAAAAGGAGATTGCGCTTTTGCGGTTGTGTTAAGTTGATTTCCGGCACGTCTGTTGCTTCACTTAAAACCAGTCCAGCTCCGGCTGGACAAAACGCCGCATGACTTCAAGATGCACAGCGGCAATTATGCGTCCTGTCATCGTCATCATCATCGTCATCGTCATCGTCATCGTCGTCACTGGTCAACATTACATTCATAAACAGACGTAGCCCCATTATCATCGGTGTAGGTGTTTAGACACGCCCCCCTCGTCGCCGCTGTCAAATGCATCAATGTGCGGACTAACCATCGTGGCACAGTGGAACACGCTACCAAATATTAAATAAGTAATTAACAAGCAAAGCGATAAAATATATGAGAACATGAAAATATTAATCTATTCTCTAAATATCACAACTACATTTACCCCTCAGAAGCATACTCATGGATACTCATCCATGTTGACTCGGCATCAAGTTATATACCCTTGTTGGGGATATGATAGTTCTGTCAATAGATGCGTAAGGTATATATATTCTAGATCAGCATTAACTGCCCAGTTCATATAGCCATGTCGGTCTGTTCATTTGTCCGCCCGCCTGTTTGCCTCAATGTTCACTTGTCTCTCAGTTTTTAGTCATTTTGTATTGAAACTTTGCAGCTGTCGGAACCACTTTATCATATAGCTGCCATAGGAACGATCGGTCGGAAAGTAAGTTCTTCTATGGAAAATTTTTTTGTTTCAAAAGATATCTTGCCAAAAACCAGCATTTTACGTTTATGTTTACTATGCTGTCCACATAAATGTAAATTGTATACACATCGGACTATAGCTTTAAGTTAGCTGCCATAGAAACGTTTGCTCGAAAAGTAGGTTCTGAAATTATAGCTTAACAATTCTCACATATCTGCAAAACCTTAAGCCAACTGTCTAAAAGGTTATTAAATTTTCAGCGTATCGAAGATATTCTCACGTTCTCGTTTTATTTTAGTTTGCGGCTATAAAAACATATTTTCCACATTTCGTTCATATAATTTTCATTAATCTAGCCTTGGGCCTTTTTTTGCCTCTACACTGATTTAGCGTTCTTATAGAAATAGGTTTCCCTTTTTATTAAAAATGTTTTTATGAAATTCATTTGCATATGACATCATTAGATTAGTTTGTGATGTGGCTGTTATGCATTTGGCCCACTGTACGTTATCTCGTGTCTAGTTGAGCCCACACCCTGCCTACTGAGGTGTGCTGTAAATTATACGGCTTTGCGTTTAGCCTTCGTAACCTCGAAGTTGCCCCTGCCATGGCCCCTGGTCGAGGTCCAACCAACCATTTGCCTGCTGCTGCAACGCAGTTTGATGTTTTGCGGTTGTGTTGATGCTGTTGATGCTGTTGACGTTGTCAACGTTGGCGACGTTGTCGTAGGCCTATCCAAAATACTGTGGTGCACTGTTTTTGGCTTGGCTTTAAATATTCAAAGTGTGCCTTTAGGAGCTGGCATGTGGCACATTAAGAGCCTGGCATTATCAACATGGCGCCTGTCTATTGTCTCGTTGCGGTGCGTTTGCCAATTAATGAGATTTTTGCAAGGCAAGACAACAACTGGAATATTTTAGCTATAAGAGCTTTACAATTCAAAGCCAACTCATGTAGGAAAAAGCTTGAAAAAGAGTTATGTTGCATAGATTGTTGAATGCTACTACATTTATGTGCATGTACAATAGTTTGCTCTTCAAATATGAAACCATTTTTGTGTTTAGTTTCTATCATTAAACATTCGCTATCAAATGCCATTTGATATGCTCCAAAGTTTAGCTTGGGCGCCCTTATAACTCAATTACCAACTCCCCGTTTCCCTAAACTCTTTGCTCAAATGTGTCAATTGCTGACACCTGCAAGTTTCCATACAATTTTTTTCCTTTTCTTTCTTTATTAGAACCCTTTGTGGTTGCGACACCCCAAGGGCAAACGCTTTGAGAGTTCGCAAAATGCGGTGGCATTTGAATAAACCACTTGGCTTGGCTTTACATGCGGAGACACTGAGACTGGGCGGGTGAACCAATCAAACCAAATATTTTGCAGCCACACGGGTTGACACAAGAAAAACTTTCACACTCGCCCGTGTGCTGCGACGTGTGCCCCACGACACAGCATGGCTGGCATTTGGTTGCCTTAGCCTTTATTTTCATTAGCCATCCAACTAAAGCTGCAGCCGGAGCATCAGGTTCAGCTTCAGCTGCAGCTGCAGCTGTCATCTTGCAACCTAGACAAACGAGACCAAACCAAACCGAACCAAACCAAAACCCAAGCAAGCCAGCCAGTTATCCAGTCAGCTAACCGCAACGCTGTTGGAGCCACTGTCATTTGTTATGTTATTGGTTTGGACATTTTGCAAATTGCTTATTTAGCAGTGCGTAAAATCCACAGCACACACACACACACACACACACACACACACACACACACACACACACATTCTAGTATCTAGTATCTATCTAGTCTCCATCTCTACTATTTTTTTTACTCTAGCTCCAGGGACACACACTCACACACACATGTCAAGTGTGTGGCGTCTGTTATTCTCTGCTCTTCACTTCTGCCTTTTGCAAATACCCTCTAACCCAACGAGTGCCTAAAGAGGTTGTACCTCTGGCTGCTGACAGCTGAATTTATTAACTGTAAATTCATAATATCACTGAGTGGGACTTTGGCAATTCACCCTCACGCTCGTAAAATGGGTGAAAAATTTCAACTGTTTTTTTGTTTTACAAGTAATTGACCAACTTTAAAAGATGTCTGCACTTTAGTTGTGTCTTACTTTACTTATTACGTGAAAGCTCAACAGAAACAATTAATTGTTAGGTGTTTTGTGAATTTATTTTATGAAATCCGCCGCAATGCGTGGAAAGTCAAGTGAAAAGAAACAAGCCATCTTCACACGTAAAGGGCTTTCATATTTTTTCACTACTTAAATAGTTAATTCAATATAAGATTGTACTGAAGCTAGAGCTATTTAAGATATGAGTACGAGATATGCCCGAATATATCATTGCCGGCCGAACAACTTATGTATTTTCCCGTTGTAACTTTCATTAGGCGAAAACCCTTCAGTTAACAGCGTGTCATGCAAGTGGTTAGTTGTTTCGATCTATTATCAGTTCAATGTCAGAAAAAAGATGGAAAAAAAGGGAGGAAAATTTGAAAAAGGCCTGCGAGTTATGTGGGCAAGTGTCCGATTACAGCTCGGTACATTTTTGGCACTTGTCATCCAAAGGGCTTTTCCCGTCCATAATAATATTTGGTTTTCATTCTGTGTTCCTCTGTTGCCCTTCTTCTTGATTTTGCCTGCTGCCTAATTGCCTGGCTACGTTTTACATCGTGTCTTTGTGGTCATAAAAGTTTTTATGGCTAAAACTCTGTGTGTGAGCTTTTTTAATTAGACGAGCGAACCATTAAAACTGATCGATTCCATATTAATTAAGTTTTTTTACTGGGCATAAAATGAATTAAAGCTTTATGACTGCGATTCGATCTTAAGTTTAGAATTTATATGCCTATTTCTTTAATATTGATGCTAATAATTTTGAATTAAACTTTATCTTCTTGCAGTTGCGTTAAACTGAAGCAAACAGCTATCATCGATTGTGGGCGTGGCTAAACGTTATGTAATCTCGTTACAGCGTTTAGCAATAAATGAGTCTGTATATGTGCCATAGAAGACATCTGATAATGTGTATTAATAAATTTATGACTTTAGTTCTAAAAGAAATACAATTGACGTGCGTTTTCTTTTTCAATCCTTACAGCTCGCAAACTTATTTTGATAAAATGAAAATAAATCGAAATGAAAAATAATCAAAATGAGAAAAGTATACAGAAAGATTATGCAATAAATAAACATTTGAAAAGTTAGAAGGATAAATATTTGAAGAGACAACAAAAATATTTAAAAAATCTGAGCCGTGATATTTGTTTTTCCTGTTCATTCCCTCGTTCATTAAGTTATTCATTAAATCTATTCGTAGATTAAATTGTGTATTTAAATAAGAGAAATAAAACTTCAAAGTACATCTATATTAATTTTTTTTCGCTTTCCATCCATATACCAAATATATTTCTAAAATATCTAGAACTAAAATTTTTTATTAACAAGTTCTCAGAATTCACAGAAATATCGTATGCCATTTGCCAACTTGAATACTTTTGCCTCTACGAGAGCACATGCCAATACGCTCTGAATAATTTCGGCTGCATTTGTTCGGCTGAACGCTGAATATTCAAGCGCCACAACCAAAAAAGCAAATCAATTTAAATTCAATGGAAGTCAACTACCAAAGTTAACTTAGTTCTATTCTCTGGCACCCACTCGAGCAACTGGGGAGCAGCTCACAAGTTTGTCGCCAGCAAACAAATAACAACAAACCTAAACTTTTTATTTTGGGCTAGAGGAGTCTAGGGGCTTGGTTTCATTCTCAGATGCCCCCGTAAAAGGCAACAAGAAACAGTTGCCCACCCTGGTACATGCCCGTTAACAGAAAAGCCTTTAGGCTCTCACTGACAAAGTCGAGCGGGAGCAAATAGAAAAAGTTGTTGCGACTTTTTAAATTGAAAATAAGCTGCCAGGTAGTTGCAGGTAGCAAAGATTAAGCGTGCAATTTAAGACTATTAAAATACAAATAATTGGCATAAAGATGACTGACTAAAAGGTTCCCTATTCAGTGGGAGTAGTGTGTGGAGTACACAAGAATTAAACAAAGCTATGAAGTTCTTGTCACGGGAATATCTATTAACTCGGATGCTGCGAGCCTTATTTTAAATATCTATTACCTATAAATGTTCTCTATTTTCTAGAAGCTTCCCTTTCCAGCTGACGGATACTGAGGTATGAAATCAACTAAGAAGAGATTTCCTTAAACGTTTTCTTAATAAAGGTATTTGATGAAATATAATACGATTTTTGAAACTTATTAAAAGTAAATCAATATTATAATAAAATAACAATAATAATATTTATATGTGACCTCTTTAAGCCGAGTTTTTCGGATATATATATTTAATAATTAAAAAATAAATAAATAAACAAAATAATAACATTTTGGAACGTCTTCTAACCGGAATTTTCCGCTATTTGTAATATAGCTTTAACTTTAAACTTTTAATAGACAATTTATTTTATTATTGCATTAACAACCTTTTAAAATACCCTTTTTTGCACATACTCTGCATACAGAGTATAGAAAGAAAAAAATCTTTAGCACTTGTGCCTTAATAATCACTTTAATTACAATTAAACTGAAACCCTAAACGACTTTGCTATTGTTGCTGCTGCTGCTGCTGCTGCTGATGATAATATGAAGATGAATGGCTGGCCATTCATTAGCTGGGCATCGGGGGTCAGCGGAAGTCATCGGGGATATATAGACGGATACTTGAGCTTCACGTTCAAAGTCAAAGTCGCCATGCTATTATAATGCTAATGACGTTTAATCGTTTTTAGTTAGGGATTTTCTGAGTTCAACGGGCGCGAGGGAGCGCTTAGTTAATTAGCATAAAGTTAAAACGCTTTGCGGCCTGGCAGTTGCACAACTTTTGACGTTTGCCATTAAAAAAGAGTTGCCTTCTCGGGCAGCACATTTTAAACAGATCGAATTGCCGGCTCGTCTATTTAATGCATGTTGTACTCAAAAGGATTTTTACTTTTAACGCACAGCGCAATGCCGACATTTTCTTTTCATTAAAGTCAATAAAAAGTTTGACTAAACAATATCATGAGCTGCGATTGGCACACATATAGGTAAAATATTAGCTCCAGAACTTAAGTTAAAATCAATGAACAATAAAATAATAATAATGAACAAAAATATAATAATATAAAATTTTTCCAATTAGAAACGATTGAAGGCAACTAGAATGTAATAAGAATTAACTTGAATTTTAGAATTTAATAATTTCTAAGCCTAAAATACAACCGGCTCAAGAATAAGAAAATAAGCTCTTAAATATTAGGATCTTCAAAGGGGTTAACTTTGATAAAGGCTTTCATTACTTGGACTTATTTAACATTATTTGCTGTTATTAGCTTTAAGAACTTTGCCGATTATTGAATTTGGATACTGAAATGAAAAACATGAAAACAGGTACAATGCTTGGGGACATGCATAAAAATCCATAATGAAATTGTGCAGAAACCAAACGCAGGCAAGTAATGGCTGCAGGCACGCCCACAAAAACTGGCCGCACCTAGGTGTACTGGCAAATGGCCATAGGCTCCAGCTGGATATGAGCAAGGAAGCATGTCACATGCAAACAAAAACCCACCCACCCACACACACACACACATACACAGAATCATTCACACAGCGAATCCAATGATGGCCGCAGTGGAACCGAAGCATCTCCTCATTCGAACTCCGGTCTTGGCTCCTGCTCCCTGGTCCGATGCTGTTTGCATTTTCCGCATGAAATTGACGTTTCATTTGTTATAATATGCATTGAGGCAACATTTCGATGCTCATAAATATTTAACAGACATTCATCTGTTGGGAGAAACGTTAAAGGCGACTGGGTTGGGACCTGGCGGACAGGCTGCTGCCTGTTGCAACAGGATATGCGGATATCGCATGGATATTGCGATACAGATACACATATTCGTAGATACAAATACATGTGGATACGTGTGCATACACATTATGGCCATAAAAAAAAGCTCAAGGTTCACCCTGCCGCAGCTCACTTTTCACGTCTGAGCATGGGCGTTGACATGTGCTGTCCAAAAACAAAAGCAAGCAATAAGAAAAGGCACACAAGAGGCAAACAAGGCGCTTCGGCTCAAAGTATCAGACGGTCGACGTTGTCAAGTGCATAAACTATTAATTGAAGCTATTAAACAGCACGTCAAGAAGTTTCTACCAATTTTATGCACTTGAAACTCCTCTAAAGGACTTCTGAAGGCAAGCTTAATAACTGCGATGAGGTATACATTTGAGGACAACTTATATAATTTAGTAAACTAAAATTAAAAATTTCGATTTTCTTAAATTTTGAAAATAGTTTTTGTATTGAGTATACTTTTTCTAATATCTGCCAACTTGAATATGTAGCTTGAACATGTTTAAGACTAGGTAAAAGTTTTTTTGACATATTTTTTTCAGAATATTTTTAAATTCAGAAGCATTTGCACTTAATTTTTCTAATATTAAAATACTTTTTCATTTATTTTTTCTGACATATTTCTATACTTTTTCATTCGTTTTAAGATTTTTTCTGTGCGTTCTAATATCTTCCCGCTGCTTCCATTTGAAGCTGGGAATTATCCTAGTTAACATTTATGTATAGCTTGAAAGTTTGTAAATCTATGTCTCTGTCGAATTGACAAACAGATGAGAATGGCTAAAAAACCTCAGCTTTTTGCCCTGTGCAAAGATGCCTACTTTTCTCCTAATCTCTTATTTAGTGTTACTTTTCTATCCCAGTTGACATGCTCTTGATAGAAAAGAAATATTATGTTTAGCTTGGCAGCTTTGATTTGGTAAAAGTTGATGAAGAGTAGAGCAAAGGAAAATGTCAAATAATTGCAATTGGCAAAATGTGTAACACTTTTCTAACGAACGCCTTTGTACATTTTTCAATAGCTGACTGCAACATATGCGAGCCTTTCAAAAACTGCAGCACCTGCTCGTATAGCATAGTACATCCATCTTTTTCCTTGGGCTTCCACCTTGTTAAAGTGGAGCCTCACACGCGCTGTTTGTTTTCTGTTAAATCGCAACAATCAGCGCTAATTGGAAATTTAACAGTTCATAAAAAGTTTTTGGCGCGCCAAAGCTCCCCTATCGACGCCCTACGTCGATTCTGCCTGCCCAGGCAGCCCAGCTCCACACCCAACCAACCCGTCAACCAACCACTCCCCCTTCGACTATGCTGGCAGTCGCAGTCGCAGTCGAGTTGTTGACCCAAATATCACGCTTTATGAAGCTGACGACTCGCAGCTCGGGCATTTGCTAAGCTTCTGCCTCACTGGCGCTGAGGTGGGGTGGGTCCGAGGGGGTATTGGGAGTCCGAGGAGCAGCGCAGTGATGGAAAGTGCCTTGAAAGCAGCAGGGTTCATGCCAGCATGGTTTACACCTGCTTCCATTCAGACATCACAAACACACACGCACACACATTAAAAAACTATCAGCGTGTGTTTCATTTCACTTTTGAGCCCGCTGCTTGGAGCTGCGAGGAATGAGACCAGATGGAGAGGAGGTGTTGTGGGATTTTTCCAATGTTTTGCGCTCGAGGATAACACTAATTTCGCACCACTAATTACAGTTCTTTTTTATGCCCCCCTCAATCCCCACTCCCAGCCACCCCTTTCATCCATTCCCTTATTGGGCCGACTTTTTACAGCGTTCACTTTGCGTAATTATGCGATATGAGGGTGGGTAAATGTGGGAGTCTTTGCTACTTAACTCAGTTGGGAAATAACGTTATAAAAATGTTGCAACAACAACAACAACATCAGCAACAACTTGCCGAAGAAGAAGAGCCACAACATCAAGTAGCACATGCCAACGTCTGGGCCAGCAGTTGCACTGCCGCTCTTCAGCTCATCACATAGGTTTCTGACTTAAATGAGTTTTAAATGCCGCGCGTAATGCTAAACGCTTTAGTTTCCCAGCAACATATTTTCCTTTCATTTCCATTTACTTTTCGTGTTCTCTT